TTTTACGCAGACCTTCACCACAAATGAAGAGATTTTTTTAATCCCGAGGCACAAAATGCCGCTATTGGGTTAAAAGGATCTACCATCAAGGAAAAGGAAACTTAAAAAGAACATTTTCAAACCCGATCCTTTTTAAAGGAAGAGGAAGAGTAGTGATGAAGAACTTGAGTGTTGAAGAATGTAAACATGTATATCATCAGCAACAGCTGTCATAGGTTAGTGCTCAGGCAGCAATGACGAGAGTTAATTTAAAGTAAAGGGAACATTGTAAAGTTTATCAGTATCAGAGGCTAAGCCCAGCGATACAGACTGCTTCTCTGGTCTGGACTGCAGAGTGGAGGAAGATAAATGGAGCCCTTGGGAAACACGAGTAGTGATAGCCATCCACTTTGACAGTGTCGCAACGAGAGTAATGGACGGTGGCAGTGTCAACTCTGTACTTGCCTTCTAACTTTCACAATTTTTTTGAAACTTTGTACATAATGGTAGAGTAATTTACTGTGTTTAAACATACAATCAAGTTCATTTATCTCTCCATATATCCTAACTTGCGTGTGCTCTTACTTATTTGTAAGATTAAAAGCTATCTACAACGTGGTTGTAACAACAGCGACAACACGCATCTTCAAAACGAACCACACAAATGTTGTTGTAAGACCACGAGGGAAACCTGTCTTAAAAAGTTTCCCTGAGGTCCAGAGATGGTGAGCGTTGCTGCAGTGAGAACACCTGTGACGAAGACTTGCCACAACTCGTGGCAAGTCTTCTCAAGAAGAGAGGTTTCTTGGGAAGTAACGAAAAAAATTATTTCTGTCGTGGAGAGTGTTTATTTAAATACACTATGGAAGAGTAACAGATAGAGATATCTGAAAACAGGAGCATGCGTGTTCGGATGTCAAGATGTGTTGGAACACTGGTGATAAAGACATGCAGAGAACAAAAATTAACAGGTCTCTGAATCACAGTGTGTGCCTTCTCAGAGTAAATAGTGATAGCTTAAATTACCTAATAAAAGAAACAACACAAGCAGTGATGAACGGAAGGTTTGCATATCGGGTGAAGGCAGTGGGACGTGAAAGAGATGCTAATGAGCTGATAATGGACCCATTGTCTAAATAGATACCGACTACAGTGGAGTGTGAAAGGAAACTCGGGAATGTGGGATACCATTGCGCACAAAAAAATGTACACTCATTGTACTACTCATCAAGATAAGGGACAAAGGACTGCAAAAGAACACAGCCAAAAACAGAAAGTTCGAATGGGAAAGCAACATTTGGAGAATTTTCTCTGTTTCCTCTAATATTCCTTTCGTAATGCTGACAATATTAATTACCAGTAAGACAATGATATAAGAGGACAAGTAATGATACTCTAGTGTTCGGTAAAGTCGATACGAGGTGGTAAAGGCATGAGCTGCACGTGGTAGATTGTTAGTTATTGTTAGAAGGAAGATGCGTGTTACATGGAAAACTTAGAAGGGTTGTGGGAAAGATGTTGGGATGTTTATTGTTAGTCAGTCATACGGTGTGCTTGTGGATTGAGTTGTAGTCGAGGGTCCTGAGAATTTACTCCATTAAAGAAGAGACTTGTCGAGGTCACTTTCTGGAAGTCTCTTCAGAAAACATTATTGTGGCCTTAATAATGCATTCTGGAGTCGGGGAAGAGGAAGGCAGCATGATGCGAGTGTGGGAGAATGATGGTCCCACTGGAAAAATTAAAGAAGGAATGTTATTTCACTAAAAGGAGGGTGTTGCCAATAGCATGGAGACGTGGCTGTCTGGTGGCCAATGCAGCGTAACATTTACAATGATAATGCATCCCAGTCTTCAGAGCATCAAACATTGTGGGGCTAGAACAAGAAAATTCTTGTAGGAAGGGGATTGCAGGTGATGAGTTTCTTAGTTAGCAAAGGGTTGCATGTCGACTCATTTGGCAGATATCCATAATTCATTTTGTCGTTTGATGTGCAAACGATCCGTAAATTGTTAAATTGTGAAAAGAGCCAGGTCCGTTGTCAGGGTGAAGCTATGGTCAGGGTGGAAGCTATGGTCTCAAAGGACTGGTCTCAGACACTGGGCTATCAAATGAAATCGGTTCTGAATTTAACACAGAGGTCAGTAAGAAATGTCGCCGTGAGAAATGAAGCCAGGAGAATAGGGAAGTGCTTCATCAAACATATAAAGTAAGAACGATGTGGGGAAGCTGCTTGGAGAATGAACGAAGAACTACTGTTATACTGCACCAAGAACTATATTCGTTTTCAGTGTGGTTGGTAGTATTATTGGGATAGCAACTACCTCTTACTCCAGCAGGCGTTCACCACCATGGTGACACATTCAGAATTAGCCGAACATGGCTTAGGAAAATCGCTAGAAGTCTCAGAGTTACTGTTGCCATTCCTGACCTGCAGGCAACTTCCGGCAGTTCTCCCACCATCGGAGGACCTACTGGATCAACATTCGATTTTCCACCTGTAGGTCGCCGATGTCCACAAGATAATTCACTTTCCATGGGTTGGAGTGAGACAGTCACTACAACACTACCTCGGAATGATCGTTGGAGCGGGGCTGGATAAGCGGGCTATTTATCCTTTCGTCATCATCTTCGCTGATGAAGCAGAAGAAGAAGGGAGGAGTGAGCTGAATTTTCATCGATTCGAGAATGGAAGAAAAGTTCCAACTGTTGCGATCAAGAGCTCTCCGCCATGTATAAGACGCTCCCCTTAAGAGGCGCCTAAGTTTCGCTGTCTCCTAATATCATGTTTATTTTTTCCCCATAATCTACCTTGTTCATAATTACTATAGCATTTGGTTTGTCTGCTATCGTAAGATGAAGTCCAGGATCTTTCCTTAATTCATGGTATAACTTAACAAAGCTTTGAGGAGAATTGTGTTGCAGAGGAGTGAGCTTCGCTCAGACTTCTGCAACTCAAATATTTGTTAAGTTATACCATAAATTAAGGAAAGATCCTGGATTTCACCTTACGATAGCAGACAAAACAAATGGTATAGTAATTATGGACAAGATAGATTATGGAGGAAAAATAACATATTATTAGAAAACAAAGGAACTGACGTGCTCCTTAAAAGGAATCATTTGTAAAAAAAATTCTGATATTTTTCATGTTCTTTACTTAGCACAAATAGGACCTAATCTCTCTCTCTCTCTCTCTCTCTCTCATTTTCTC